ATACGGGCTTTCCAAGTTCGCATAGGTAAGTGTGTAGCTAGGAACTGTGAACCATTGAATGGAGTCGCGAGCGGAATCGACGACAAAAATAGACAGTAATAGACGCTTGGTGTACGTACGACTTAAATAATAGCAACGATAAGTTTCTAATAGGACATGTTTATATTCTTCCATTGAAATTCCTATGCTTTTGTATGGCTTCACCTAAACACTCGAATATCTACTGTTCTGTCCCATTCCATGGGTTACACTGCTGGATTACAACTCGCGTGACATTTTTAATTAATGAATATTCTTTTAGATTACAATAACATGCTTTTACTGGCAGGCATAAGCTAATAAAGGCAACGTCTGGCCATCTAAATTAGACTATCGCAGCGTAGCCTTAAAACGATTACAAATCCTTGAAAAACTACATAAATATTTTTCTGCACAAGTGAGGGTGACAACGAGTGCACAGTCCATCCGATTATAAATGGATGGTGTAGCCTATGAACGTCATTTTCTATTCTTTGTATAAATACACTTTGTCACCCATGAGGATGTATACCGTAATAATTATAACATTTAACAAAAACTAAAATTGGTTCACAATCTGCGGAGATATCGCGTAACACATACGAAAAAAACATACACTCTAATTGAGAACATCCCCCTTTTTGAAGTCGGTGTGGTGTCCAGTTCTCTACACTCGCCATACGAATTACAGCAGCAATATGCTGCTAATTGACGCTGGTAAAGATTCTGCGGCAGCAGGATCCTTTCCCGGTTCCCATTACATCGTTCACCGGTTTAAAAAATAACGGTTTCCATTCATATTTTTACGTTTAAATTTGGAATGGAATTATAATTAGTACGAAAACAGTTTTTGTATAAAGGAACAAAAGTAGCTTCGACTTTTAAGAAATAAGTTTTAATAAATGTTTTAAAATGAAGTTAGAATATCAAAAGAAATATGTAGGTAATCGTTTTAAGATACGAATTTAATGCATACACATTTTATACGCCAATTACACAGTTCTACTATTTACAATTGCAAATACGAGTGCAATGTGAAACCGCAGAACATAATATGTTCATATTAGATCTCTACGTGAATAAAAATAATTCATGCATCTATTTACATGCACTCCTGTATCTCAACAAATGTATGTATATGCTATAAGCACACAATAAACTACTTATAAGGAAATGATATTGATAATGGCCACGTCAAATGAAGCAGCTCATGACCAACTCCATCAGCTCTGCAAAGCTTGTGGGTTATAATAGAGAATCGTCTAATTTACAAGAGCACGCACAATATCTAACAAAAATACAACCTTTTATTATTGGTAAGTAGATTTTATTACTTGTCAAATTTTGTAATAAAGTAAAAATGCTAAAATCTAAACCAACCAAGAAAGAGCGCACAGATTTAGAATAAAGGATACTATTATAGTATATATAAATACGGTAAGTTTCACAAAATCTACCAAAGAAAAAAAAAACAAGGGAGACGCATGCAACTTGAAATTAGACGATGTGCCCATGATGTACCTATACAATTTAAACATTTCGTGAAATTAGTATTGTAAGGATGGTTCCTTTTCCTTTTAGGCTGTTAGCAAAAAAAATCGATATATTATAGGTTTAATTCATTTTGTAAGATTTCAAAGAAATTTATTTGATTTTGTTTTTGTTTTGTAGTTATAATTTTGTTATGTCAGTCACATAGTGACATCCTGATCCTGTTACACCTTTTGCTTTTGTGTCATACCTATCTCAAAAAATAACAAGTTCTAAGTAGTTTCAATGAGCCTCGCTAGATGGCGCTTATTTAGCTTTAATAGGTTTGAAAACTCATATTTTGTTAAGTATTAATGTTTTACCTTTTTAAAAATTTATTAACGAATTCTACAAGAATACACGTATCTACTTAGCATATTTAAGTAGTTCATTTTGCAATTTAAAGCTATTTTACTAATAAGATCAAATATCGCAAAACATTACAACGCTAAACACAATCTTCGTCATAAGTATTATGTGAAAGGGAATAAAAATTGCTCCCCTTTTATTACCTACACCTATAATATTATCTATAATTCTCCAAGATTCAAATACACCACACTTACCTTCAATTTTCTAATAAAATACAAATCTATCTAGGTACCTACTTAATTAATTACACATAATAATTGATTCTTGTATGTTTATGTCCTAAACTCAGACCAACAATGAAGATAGACGAACACTGTGTACATTACAATTACAAGTGACGTCATAAGCATGGTCAATTTCTGACACGCACTCACACACACAATTATTTCTTCGCTCGTAAAAGTTCACTACTGGACGCACTATTAAGCACCCAAAAATCTTGTAGGTACCTAGTTGGTTGCAAAAATGATCTTAGATGCATATGTTGTACGTGAGTACGTGTTCTTGTACATGGTTTAGATTGGGTTTTTCACATGCAATGTACGCAGCTCTCCGTGTTTCTTTCTTTATTGATTTGAGGTTTCAAATAAAAAAATACTACTTAATTATTTATTAACATTTAGAACTTTGGCTGACTATTGAAGTATAAACATAAGACCAATTATAGGCACATGGGAAAGCAAATCTTAATTTTAACATGCATAAATACAATTTTAAAAAAAATCATCAATTTATTTAGATTCCCTTTACAACGAGGACAGATTGGAGGTGCTTGCCTATAAAAAGTTTAGGGATAGCGTTTAAAAAAAATATTAAGTATTACTTATATTTGAATTATTGATACTAGCACTTTTAATTTATAAGATTTATAACATGTTTCTTTAACTGTTTATCTCTAATGCATGTAAAGAAAATGTACGATATATCCATTATTGTGTGATATTCAACCCTTAACTTTTTTCTTAGTTAAAAATGAGCATTATGGCCAATAAAGTCAACGATTATGGCATTTAGCAACTAATCTTTTCTAACTTCATGTAGTATTTAATATAATACAATTTTAACAAATATTATTGTCTTAGTTTATTGTCACAAATGTATAAAGCTCATGTGACCATAATGTTATTTGTTTCGGTTCTTTGAAGAAATTACAATAAAAATGTTGGAGATGCATTGAAGTAAAAATATGTAAATAGGTATTGCAATTTCTTGTTTTCGAGAAGAAACTGTTTGCCATAGTGCCGGCATACAGTGAATCTATTTAATTCTAAAATATTTTAACGATATTAATATTTAAATCCATATAATTCCTATTAATTAAAATAGGCTATATCTAAGCAGGTTCTACATAGAGGTATTGAATGGACCGCAATTATCCGAAAGTTTTACATTATAACTAATTAAGGAATGGTTAAAATAATTCGAGATATGGAGTAGGGATATGCAAATATACAAGTTTTAAATCGACTAAAACCTAGAGATCAAAAGGGACCACGATAAAATTAAGTGGTTATCTTTTTTAATTTTAAAAAATTTAATAAGCACAGCCATTTGCGGTGGACTAGATAGATATGGGTCATTTCTAACTTACTTGGAAACATATTTTGCGTCAATGAGGGCTAATAATATTCCGATCACCAGATGTCACTAGTTGACACTGAGGTAAAGTTTTTTGTCGCACAATGTTATTTTAAATAAAAAAATATCAGTTTCTAGAGTATTATATCGATGGCAGCAAAGTATAAACGGACATCTACATTTTTATGAAAATGCAAGTATACAAGTCTGTACTAAAATTATTTCAAATTTCTAAATAATGAAGAAAATCTGGCACGTAAATGAAGACATCTACCTTCGATTTAAAAAAAAACATCGCAGTAGAAACGGAAATTTGAATTTGTCCGCCTGGTGGGTGATTCATTAATTAATAATGTATAAAATGTTAAATGAAAAGTAAATAAAGACATCTGCAAAATTTCGTCAAAAAAGGGGAATACTGTTTGCATGTTGATAGGTTTTCTTTAAATATCCTTAAAAGTATTAATGGAGATTATTATCTTAGTTTATTACATATTTTAAATGAAATGGACGCTTTATTATCACAACGTATAAACGGATATCAGGCAGATGTTCTTCTTCTGCGTCAAAGTTTTTAGAGTAAAAAAGACATCTAAATTATTTTAGTAAAACAACGACATAGCGATAAAAACTATTACATAATTCATAAAGAAAGCTATTTTAATGCTTCATAGAAAATTTCATGTTAATCGGTCCATAACTCTCAAAATGATCACAATTTTTTACTAAATCTGCTCTCCTGTAAAATTGCCATTTTGTAGATGTCCGTTCTTACTTTGCTGCCATCGACATTATTCCACAAAACAATGCCTGAGAGGTTTGCTCTTTAATTTTTTGCACATATTTAACTCTTTTTTTAAATTTTTCAACTTTTATGAATATCTGTGGTTTGGTTCATTTATTTTTAATCTAATTAATGTAAAATATAACTAATAGTACAGAAAGAAACATTAACCTTTACATGAAATCCGCAAAAATATTATATCTCATTTTAAGTGGCGCCGCCCTGGTGGCAATAAAGTCGTGGAATGTTGATATTACGTGGTAAAATGAAATAATTAATCTTTTACAAAAAGTAAACGTTGACTTTGAAGAACTTCAAACAGGTTATTTTTTGCCCATTTAGGGGTGGAGTTTTTTTCGAATTTATATAGGGACAAACCTCAGGTATAATTATTATTATATTTTTAATTTTTCCACTTTAGTTTATTGTACAATGTTCAATAATAACAAAACAAAAGACAATCTATACATACAGATAGATTAGCAATGCCATCCATACCAGGAGTGATATAGGCTATATATTAAAAGAAAAACTTGGACATTTAAAAATAGGATAGAATAAATGATCTTTAATTATCTTAAATCTAATTATATCCTATCCTACCCAGGCGATGTTAGAGCGGGTCGCTAGTCTACCATATACATGATATAATAGATTCTCTTTTAATAAAAACGCATAGATGTTTCCAAGTAAATTAAACAACTTCACCATTACATATTTACCGTTTAGGTGACAGACTTTGTACGTAATTCGGGTCCATTTCGTCCAGATCCTTACCCTTGGTCTCCGGTACGCAGCAAACAACAAAACAGAGGCCCCCCACACTTATAGACGCGTACAACCAGAAGGCCCCGTGAAGGCCCAGCGCCTGCTGGAAGTCCACGAAGGTTTTAACACCAACGAACGCGCAGAGGTAGCTGAAAGCTGTGGCCATCGCGCTCCCGAACGCTCTATATTCCAGAGGGAACAGTTCCCCGATCAGCAGCCAGGATATTGGACTCATACCTAACGAGAACGCGATCGTGAATACCAGCACACAGAGCAAAGGTATCCAGTCGTTCTGCCCAACGGTTTGGTGGAACATCACGTTCTGGATGCGCTGATTTCTGTGCACCTCTTCGTAATATGCGTAACTCCCAAAGCCAGCAAGGGCCATAGACATGAGCACAGAGCTGACAATTAACAATGGCAGCCTCCCTACAGTGTCAATCAAAAGTCCCGATAAACAAGATGCCAAGAGTTGTACGAAAGATACAGCTATAGCCGCACCATGAGGGTTCATGCCGCCGAAAGTTTTCCTGAATATCGGAACAGCGTAGAAGGAAAACGCGTGAGCGCCAGAAAATCGTTGGAAGGTCATCAAACCGCATGTCACTAATATCGGTCCGAGGAGCCGATTCATTGTTCGCACATCTAGTGAGTTGATTAGCTGACTACTCGACATCTGGCTTTGCCTTTGACTAAAGTTCTTACTCGCCAAAACGTTAGTTCTTATCGTGGCTAGCTCCTGAGCTACGTCAGAGTCGGGACCCCGTAACCAGAGGAGACTCTTGTACGCTTCCTCGTCTCTACCGGTCAACACGAGATAGCTCGGTGTTTCTGGTATGTAGAGTACGGTGCAGAACAGAAGTAAGGGAGCGGCCGATATGCAGAGCGCGAGCTGCTGCCAGTCGAGGTAGGCGCCGATGGTGAAACTGAACAGCACTCCGAGATGACCCACAATCTTGAGCACGGCGCTAAGGCAGCCCCGGATATCTGGCACTGATATCTCGCTGATGTAGACCTGGAAAATACAAATTTGAAAATCAGAATCCGTGTGGTGACGACAGTGATAAACTAAAACAGGAGATAGGCTAGCATCCTGATAACAAATCTAAATAATAAGAAAAACTACGGCTGCCAAACCGCTTGTCAAACGTGGCAACTATGGCAAATATTCATCAGGATCAATAGATTTTGTACAATATGTATGTCAAAATGAGAAATCGCTATTTTAAGAATTTAGAAATAAATCAATTAGTGCTAAAATTGTGATTTTTAGTTGTTATCGTACTTTTTATCAAGTAATAATAATAACATGATATATAATTGTTTCCGAGTATTACATTTATATATTTAATAATATTACCTATGAGAAAAGTCTCGATTTCGAGTCACGTTTACTTAATAGCGATAAGAAAAAATTAATCGCCTAAAAACAATTGGTTCGCTTAATCTCGGTCTAACAGATGTTGCTCATATAAAATACGTAGGCGCTAAAAATATGTGTAGAGTATTTCGATTTCAGATATTTTTCTATTTAATTATTTGTAGATGTAATATTTAACAAATACACAATATTAAATAATGTATTTTATGGATTTATAGAATACGAGTAACAAACGAGCACGCAGTCCACCTGATGATAAGTGGTTGCTGTGCATCAACATTGCTCCTTGATTGAAACAGAAACAGAAACTTTTTTATTCAATATAGATTTTAAATAATACTTATTGAAAGTCACTCTTTTGTTTGATTACCACTGGTTCGGAAAAAAACTCTGTCCTGGGAAGAACCAGCAAGAAACCCAGCGGGACTTTTTTTTAAATAACAGCTTACAATCATGATGTTACACAAATTAACAACACAACAAATTAGAAATAGCTTGGTAGCGATCACCTCATTTCCAGGGGTTATTATCATCAATAAATTCCTTAATATTATAATAACCCTTTTTATACAAACTTAGTTTAATAAAGTTTTTGAACTTTGAACAGGCCAAACTGTATATTTTCTGGAATTTTGTTGTAAAAGCGTATACATCGCCCCAAGAATGAATTACTGACTCGATGGAGTCGACTAACTGGTACTACTAGCTTGTGTCTGTTCCTAGTATTTACAGAATGAATATCACTTGTTTTTATAAAACTACTTTTATTTTTGTGTACGTACATTACATTTTCATAAATGTATTGAGAGGCCAAAGTTAATATATTAATTTCCTTAAATTTTTGTCGCAGCGACTCTTTAGGCTTTAAATCATAAATTGCTCTTATGGCCCTCTTCTGCAAAACAAATATAATTTCAGTGTCAGCTGCGTGTCCCCATAGCAAAATACCATACGACATTATGCTATGGAAGTAGCTGAAGTAAACTAGTCTAGCTGTTTCAACACTGGTTAGACTTCTAATCTTTTTTACAGCATATGCTGCAGAACTAAGTCTGCTTGCTAGTTTTGATATATGGGGGCTCCATTGAAGCTTCGCGTCTAGTGTGATTCCAAGAAAAATGGTGGTATCTACAAGACTCAGTTTCTCCCCATTTAAAATTACATTAGTATTTAATTGTTTGATATTTGGAGTCACGAATTTCATACATTTTGTTTTAGTGCCATTTAAATGCAAATTATTAACATCGAACCAATTTACTAATTTAGATATAGCATTATTTACTTCGTCATATTTTAGTAACTGTCGATTAAGTATCAAAATGCAGATGCGTTATCTCCCCTGAATACTAAGATACAATGCTGGAAAAGAGTAAAAAGGGTCTCCGGTTCTGTACACTTACCAAACGAAACAGCAGCATTAAGCTGCTATTTTATGCAGGTATTCTGACATTATTTATAGTCGCCTTTTACGACATCCAGGGTATGAAATTGGTTAGTGGATTCTCTAAAGTCGCCTCCATATGGATATTTTTTTTGACCGTGTAGAGGTGGAATAAGAATATCGACGACCCTATATCGTCCCGTGGGTGTCGTAAGAGGCGACAGAGGGAAACTTAAACAGGAGATGGGCAGCAGCATCTACCTGATGACAACAACTTAAAAATAATAAAATTCTCAAAAACTCAATAATAATAATAATAATCATTTTCATTTACAATTATATATTTATACAGCCCAATCAGATGTGAAAACTATATAGATACCACTCATAATAATAATAATAAACTGCGGTAGACAACCCGCTCGCCAAGCGGCGTAAGCTATGGCAATCTATGGGAGAGAGAGGCCTATGTTCAGCAATGAACTTTTATGGGCTGTGATGGATGGATGTACAGAAGATAATCTACCAGGAGCACATGACCCACTGAGAGGTGAAATTAATAAATCAACAGTAACGTTACAATTATGGCAAATAAACCCCTAAGAGCCAATCTATGGGGGAGACCCATGTTCAATAGTGGACTTTATAGGCTGTGATGGATGGATGTACAGAAGATAATCTACCAGGAGTACATGACGCACTGAGAGGTGAAATTAATAAATCAACAGTAACGTTACAACTATGGCAAATAACCCCACTAAGAAGCAATATATGGAGGAGGCCTATGTTCAGCAGTGGACTTTATAGGCTGTGATGGATGGATGTACAGAAGTAATCTACCAGGAGTACATGACGCACTCAGAGGTGAAATTAATAAATCAACAGTAACGTTACAACTATGGCAAATAACCCCACTAAGAAGCAATATATGGGGGAGGCCTATGTTCAGCAGTGGACTTTATAGGCTGTGATGGATGGGATGTACAGAAGATAATCTGCCAGGAGCACATGACGCACTGAGAGGTGAAATTAATAAATCAACAGTAATGTTACAACTATGGCAAATAACCCCACTAAGAGGCAATCTATGGGGGAGGCCTATGTTCAGCAGTTGACTTTATAGACTGTGACTGTGATGGATGGATGTACAGAACACATGAACCGCTGAGAGGTGAAATTATTCAATCAACAGTAACATTACAACTATGGCCAATAACCCCCCTAAGAGGTAATCTATGGGGGAGGCCTATGTTCAGCAGTGCAGCAGTAATATGCTGTAATGGAAGGATAGATGGATGGAAATTCGGTTATTTATTTTTATTAAAAGTAACTTTAATAAAAAGTAAAACCGACGTAATGTTATAGCTATTTAGAATTCTTCAACTTAAGCCTTACAAGTTTGTTGGCATAATGAAGTAATTAAACAGAATGTTCAATTCATCGGCAGCTCTGAAGCAATAAATAATAACTTCATCGTTAATATTTAAAACTTTGAACAAGTAACTTCGTAAATGTCGGGACACACTGTGTTGGAAATATATTACATATTTTCTGAATTTAAACGTTAAACTGCGGTTGTACAAATCAGTTTTTATTTATTTTCTTTTTATTTTTTAGTTAAAATAATTTTATTAAATCTGTTTAACTTTTTGTAACACAACGCCAACGATTGCCTATTGATCATGTAAAATTTATTAACCAATTATTAAACATTTTTATTGCTGTTTCTTATGTTGGTAATCCAAAGAAATTAAAAAAAAAAAAATTCCTCGTAGATCTAACTATGTAATAACGGTCGCAAGCGTGTCTGCTGATTATGCGGTCCCGGAATGCAATTCCAGGTCGGACAAAAATCAGTTCATGTCATCACATGTCTATAAGTAGGAAACAAGATTTTCTTAAAAAAATTAAGGAATACAATAAAACAAAAAAAGAAAAAAATTAACGTCAATTAAATACGTTGAACATATTTATAAACGGAGTGCAAAAAAATATTTATGTTACAGAATCTTCTCCAATCTCGGGAAGGGGTAGGATAGTTTGTAAAAGTCAAAAATGTAATACAAATTTTTCTCGTAAATTTGTGTTAAGTAATACAAATAGTAATACAAATTTTTCTCGTAAATTAAATGTTATCTTTGTGATTTTCTTTACAACAGGATAAATAAGGCTATTCCAATATATTGTATGAATAAATATTCTTTAAAAACAAGAGTAACGGAATGGCTTTTGGGCTTAAACTACTCCCAAACAGAATCCCTGGTACACATACACGCACACACACACACACACACGCACACAGCGCTCACGTATAAATTAGTTTTTAGTTTTTAAAATAGTTTTTTTTTATTCTTTCTCTTTTATTGTAACTTTAATTACAGAAACTGCAATTATAAATCATATTGTCATATCCAATATCGAGCTTCAATGAAGGCCCCATATATCAAAATTAGCAAGCAGACTTAGTTCTGCAGCATATGCTGTAAAAAGATTAGAAATCTTACTAGTGTTGAAACAGCTAGACTAGTTTACTTTAGCTATATCCATAGCATAATGTCGTATAGTATTTTGCTATGGGGACACGCGGCTGACACTGAAATTATATTTGTTTTACAGAAGGGCCTTAAGAGCAATTTATAATTTAAAGCGTAAAGGGTCGTTGCGACAAAAAATTAAGAAAATTAATATATTAACTTTGGCATCTCAATACAGTACACAAAAATAAAAGTAATTTTACCAAAATAAGGGATATTCATTCTGTAAATACTAGGAACAGACTCCACCGAGTCAGTAATTCATTCTTGGAGCGATGTATACGCTTTTACAACAAAATCCCAGAAAATATACAAAATTTGACCTGGTCAAAGTTCAAAAACTTTATTAAACTAAGTTTGTATAAAAAGGGTTATTATAATATTGAGGAATTTATGGATGATAATAACCCCTGAATGAGGTGATCGCTACCAAGCTCTATTTATACAGCTCATGACAAAAATACTTACTTAATTTTGCGTCAGCTTTATCATGTGACACATTTTGAAGTTGCCTTTGACACCTGTACTGTGTGTATATTTTAATTTTGATAACTTTAGTTATCAATGTAATTTACAATTTTTTTAATATAGAATTACTAACTATGAATCAATATAATTTTACATAATTTAATTATAACAAAGGTGATTGAAAAGAGACAAGAAAACTTGTTGTTAATGTTATTACTTGGTAGAACCATACTGTAGCTATAGTGTGGTTG